GTACTGCTTAGAACTGTGATAGATCTGTAGCCACTCCATCCTGGGATACTATGTGTCCAATATACACTACATGAACAAAAGTATGTGGACACCTGCTCATCGAACATCTCATTCCAAAATCATGGCCATTAATATGGAGTTGGTCCCCTCTTTGCTGCTATAACAGCCTCCACTCTTCTGAGAAGGCTTTCCACTAGATGTTGGAACATTGCTGCTGGGACTTGCGTCCATTCAGCCACAAGAGCATTAGTGAGGTCGGGCACTGATGTTGGGTGATTAGGCCTGGCTCGCAGTCGGCGTTCTAATTCATCCCAAAGGTGTTCGATGGGGTTGAGGTCAGGGCTCTGTGCAGGCTAGTCAAGTTCTTCCACACCGATCTCGACAAACCATTTCTGTATGGACCTCGCTTTGTTACGGGGGCATTGTCATGCTGAAACAGGAAAGGGCCTTCCCCAAACTGTTGCCACAAAGTTGGAAGCACAGAATTGTCTGGAATGTCATCGTATGCTGTAGCGTTAAGATTTCCCTTCACTGGAACTAAGGGGCCTAGCCCGAACCATGAAAAACAGCCCCAGACCATTATTCATCCTACACCAAACTTTACAGTTGGCACTATATATTCAGGCAGGTATCGTTCTCCTGGCATCTGCCAAAACCAGATTCGTCCGTCGGACTGCCAGATGGTGATGCGTGATTTATCACTCCAGAGGACAAGTTTCCACTGCTCCAGAGTCCAATGGCGGCGAGCTTCACACCACTCCAGCCGACGCTTGGCATTGCGCATGGGGATCTTAGGCTTGTGTGTGGCTACTCGGCCATGGAAACCCATTTCATAAAGCTCCTGACGTTGCTTCCAGAGGCAGTTTGGAACTCGGTAGTGAGTGTTGCAACCGAGGACAGACGATTTTTACATGCTGCGCACTTTAGCACTTGGCGGTCCCATTCTGTGAGCTTGTGTGGCCTACCACTTCGCGGCTGAGACGTTGTTGCTCCTAGACATTTCCACTTCACAATAACAGCACTTACAGTTGACCGGGGCAGCTCTAGCAGGGCAGAAATTCGACGAACTGACTTGTTGGAAAGGTGGCATTGTATGACGGTGTCACCTTGAAAGTCACTGAGCTCTTCAGTAAGGCCATTCTACTGCCAATGTTTGTCTATGGAGATTGCATGGCTGAGTGCTCGATTTGATACACATGTCAGCAACAGGTGTGGCTGAAATAGCTGAATCCACTAATTTGTAGTGGTGTCCACATACTTTTGTATATATAATGTTGTTGACTAGCGTTCGGCAGAACTTCAGTCCTTCTTCTTTCAAGCAATCTAACACTATGAGTAGCCTCTCTTTGTGTTCTTCCAGTGTCTTTCCGAAGACTATCAGGTCGTCTAACTACACTAGAACTTCGAGCAGGTTCATGTATCCAACGGTATGTTCCATAACACATTGAAAAGTTGCCAGTGCTCCAGACACACCCTGCGGCATCCTCTCAAACTGATAGAATCCCGCCGGACATATGAAAGCAGTCTGCTCTTTGTCAGCTTCACTCATCGGAATTTGATCATATCCACTTCTGAGATCCAACACACTGAACCATTTGCCTCCATTCAAACTGGTCAGGGCGTCTTCAATCCGCGGAACTTTGTATTGGTCAGGAACTGCACATCTGTTGAGTGTTCTGTAAGCCACATACATCAGTATGGTTCGGTTCCTCTTCCTCACCACCACAAACAGCGATGCATAGGGGCTTCAGCATAATTCAGGTTCTTCATATGTTTTCTCACATCTTCCACGTCAGCTGGGGCCAGCCGTCGAGACCTCTCCCTAAATGGTGTATCATCAGTGACTCTGATGGTATGGTGAGTACTCTTGGAACAACCAATATCAAACTCATGAGTTGAGAAAACGTATTTTCATTCCATCATCTTGTCAGTTAAAACCTCTTCTTCCATTTTTCAGTTACAGGTGAGGCACCAAAATTGAATGAAAGTATCAGCTTCTCAGGTACATTTTGCTTACCCCCTCAAGGGCAGCAGGAGCAGGGGCTGCATCTACAGGAAACAGGTAAGCAATGGGCATGCCACGTTTTAAGGTGATCTCCCGCGACGACACATTCCTGACTGTAACTATTATTCTTCTGGACGACACAGCCGTAGACGTCTGAATTTCAGGTCTCACAAGAAGTTCTTCTGGAAACCGGGAATCTTCTTGAAACTGGGATTCTTCAGGCCTATCCATCAGGATGGTCTGAGTACAAGGTGATCCAGGAAACATTCGGAATTCCGGTGACTCTTGCTAGTCTACCAGGGAGCAATGTTACAGGTTTTGCTCTAAGCTAAGGCCCCAAATCTTCAAGTGTTCAATTTGCTTTAATGGCAGATGCGTCAAGAACTTGTTTTAAAATGACCTGTAGAGTAGAGTAATCTGAGACCCACTATCTAATAAAGCTTTAGCATAGATGCCTTCAATCTGTACAGGAACAACAATGCTAGGGCCCACTAAACTGGTAGGTAGTATGTCTTTTATTTCTTGACGTTTCTTGTTGCACTTGGTGGAACGTATCTTCACCGGGACATAAGTCTACTCCTTTACTGGGTCCCTCTGTAGTTTCCCATTGACCATTTCTGGCTGATGAGATGCTTGTTGACTTTCTTCAAATTTTCTTCGCCCTCACACTCTCGTTTGAAGTGTCCATCTGTAAGGGTTGGTGTGAGGTGTGACCCAGGTGCGGTGCAGGATAGACAGTAGGCAGTAGGCAAAGATAGCAAAACAAGGATCTTTACTGATGGTCCCGAAGCCAGGATACAAAATAATGGACTTTACACGAAAAAGAAAGGCGAAGCAAATAAGACTCCAAAAAACACGAAATACTAACTGAACACTTCTCACGTACCTGTCCATACATCCCGTGATCAGACACTGATTAGTATTGCTAGGCATAGTGAAACTAGCAGAGGAAACTGAGCAAGGGAACTCAGGGAAGTGAGGGCATAAATACACAGGTGAACAGGTAGTCACAGGTGACACCAAGGATCATGATTAGTCCAGACTATGAGTGAGGAGGTGCCTAAGGTTGTCGGAGGATGACACCTAGTGGGTCGCTCCGGAACTGCGACCCCCTCCTGTAACATCCATCCTCTCCGCATTTATAGCAGAAGATACCAGGTCTGCCTTCATCCTTGGTAGGACCTTGAAATGGATCAGCATTCTTCTTTCTGACTTTGACAGTGAAATCTGACTTCTGAGTGGATGTGTCAGGCTTACCTGTGGTGACAGCAGTGGACCTAAGACGAGTCATCTCAGTTTTCAAGCCACTCATTCCTTTTCTCAGCAGCTCAATGTCACTGTTAGATTATGTGGTTGCAGCAGCAACTGGAGTGACACTTGGGAACAGTTCTGTCTTGAATCATATCTTCCTCCTCCCTTACCTCGCGAAGCAGCTCCGAGAAGGCAGGCGGCTCACACAGCTTGTAGGTCATCCGTATGCGAAGAGCAACCATGTCGTGTGACAGTGCACCTCTCGGATCCTGTTCAATGCATTTACAATTCATCTCAGACAGTTGAATTCCTCCTTTGTGAAACACACTGTGCAGCAGTTTGTTTGATCTCAGCACATATTTCTGAACCTTCCCATCAGATCAGATGTACTCTCAGTGGTGCCGAATGCAGTTTCAAGAGCATTCATGTAATCAGTAGCAGTAGCTGTGGGATTCCCAATCTTCAAAAACCTCACAATGTCAGCAGCAGGACTCTTGGACTTTCAACTATTCTCTGCTTCTTCACATTATCAGTACATTGCCATTCATCCAGCAGATAAGTGGTCTGTTCAGCCCAAGCATCATACTCCTCTTCTCCACTGGGAGTAGGCTTCACACCAGAAAACATGTGTAGCTTGCGGTAACCTTGCATCTTAGTAGGTACACTGTGACATTTCTTCACCAACGAGCTAATGGCACTAACCAACTCAGTGTTTAGATCAACAGCAGGGGAGGGACTTATCAGGCCTTTAACATCAGCGACAGTCTTCCCTTCAATTCTCAGAAATGACAGCAGCCTAGACTGAAAATCTTCACCCTCAGCAGGAGATGCAGGTGATGCAACAATGATATGCACAGGCCAGAGACCATCCTCTCCAGGTATTCCTACAACATCTGGTTTTGGTTAACAAGTATACACAATACACCAGTATCATTCAAGGAAAACAATATAATAACATCCCGGACAGAGGCCCCAAAAATGTAACCCTCTCACCAAAGGCTTAGATAAATCAACATGGAAAATATGGTGAAAAGGAAATCGCAGTAAATTATAAACTTGGTATGACTTAACTCGCTAGGGGAAACACACAAAAAATACCAAGAGGCCAGGGACATACTACAGATAGAATGTATTATAGGATACATACAAATACATAAAATGCACAACACATACAATACAAAATGCCCTGCATGCAACCAAGAAACGATGTCCAGCTTCACAGAAGTCCCCAGATCATCTCTGACCAAGCCATCCACTCCAGTTCCTGATCCGACGAAACCCAGGCTAGCTCACAAAACGACTGGAGCCTCAATCCAGCACAGCGGCAGTTGAATCCAGTAAATTCAACAGACTACCCTTTTTAACTATACTTTTTAGTAAGGTAAGAATAAGTATTTCTGCTCAAAACAAATCGTATTTTCAGATGTAAAATTACAGTTTAAACTCGATAACAACTATAGTGTTCCTCTCGCTCCTCACTCTCGACCGAAATCACCCGCACAGAGTCCTGTGCCCCCACAAACCCTACTCCCTGGATTGGCCCAAAATTTAACAAGCTCTATGATTGGCTAATCCAGCCAGCTCACCAAATTCTTATGCACAGGAGAGACAAATAATTAAGTGGACAGTACATTACAGAATTCAACCAACATGACTCAAATTATTTCCTTTAAGTAGATCTTTGAAATGTAGACATAAAATAAAAACACAAGTGAGATTTCTGTTCTTTCCCCACTTTGCAGACATAACATTCTCTGTGTTCCAAGTGACCACAACAAGTATTACGGTGCGATGGAGTCGTTACTCCAACGCAGAGCTCCTACAAAATCACCGCCACGCCAAAGAACTCTCCTGAACAGTCCATCTTCGCCCAATTCAGCGGGAACTCCGTAATGGGCTCTGTCAACGCTCTCTCCCCCAATATGGTGTACACCATGCGGGTCGAGGCCATGGACAACACGGGCAACGTCCTGAGCTGTGCAGAGTTGGAGAGGAGCTCATGTACGTAGGCCACTGTATGCGCGCCTAATGGACATGTGTGTGCGTAATAAAAAAAGAATGATGATGATTCTGAATCTGAATCTGATGATGATGTGTGTATATGTGTGTGACCACTCTTCTCTAACCACCGAGGTACCAACCATCGAGCACACCTACTCCAAGCAGAGCAACAGCATCACCATGGAGTTCACTGAGGTGTTTGGGGGCTAGCGGCTACATCCTGCGGGCCAAGTCTGAGGTGGGAGACTCCTTCTCAGAGACGGTGGTGACCAGCTCCCCAGGCACGGTGCTGCAGTTGAAAGCCATACACTGACTACACCCTCAGTGTAATGTCTGTCAACAGCGGGGGACGCAGCCAGCCCTCAGCACCCGTCCAGATAAGAACAGGTAGATGGTTTAGATACACCTGTCCATACACCTGTTTGGATGCATACACCTGTTTACTAATACACCTGCTCATGTAAGTACAATTGTTCATATCAGGACAGGTAAATAGATCTCGTACATACACATGTTTAGGTACATATATAGACCCGTTCAGATATTCACCTGTCGGATACATGCACCTGTTCAGATACATATACCTGTCCTGGTTCATATACCTGTTCAGGTAGCAGAGCTGATTCAAAATCTGTTTTCCCAAACCAAGACATAACCATACACTTCTTTGAGACAAGTTCTAAAACTGTCCCAGGACCTGTGGTTAGAAGGGCAGAATGCCACATATCAGAAGTGGTCTTGAGTTTGTTACACTAATTAGAAAGGGAAAGGACAATTAGTATCTATTTCATCTGAGCCACATGGAAGAATAGATCACAGACAATGAGTCTGTCCCACAACTTTCACTCACTCTTCAAATGAAATTAAAAGTTGTTTACTTAAGATCCTAATCATGGCTGAAACACTCTGAGAGACAAAGGGCTGCTATCTCCGACCTAGAGGCATAATGGAGTGCAGTTTCACAGCTCCATTGTGATAGTGGGTGCATGTGGTGGAAACTGTGATGCAGCGGTAACTATCTCCCCATTTGAACCTCAGAATATGAAAAGTGAAACCATGAGAACTAGGTTGTCTCCTCTCCCCAAGATTTTCCACAGGAAAATACATTTTATTTGACACCTAACAAACAAAGAATGATGACTCTCTCTGTCTCTCTCTGTCTCTCCCCCCTCTCTCCCTCCCTTCCTTCATCCCAACTGTCTATCAATTTATTAATCTACAGTTTCCTTACCATCCCCAGTGGTGGTGGCTCCAGAGCTCAGCTCAACCTCTCCCAGTAATGACACCATCTTGGTGACCTGGTCTCCGGTAGACCACGCCGTCCTCTACACCCTCTGCATCATCAGGGAGGGCTCCGACTCCCGCCTCAAACTCAACACCAGCAATCCCTTCACGAACTTTGATAAACTGGAGCCCGGCACCACCTACCTCATTAAGGGCACGGCCTGGGACCTGGACGGTTGCCCCGGAGACGACCTCACTGTGTGTCAGATCACCCGTAAGCATGGCAATTGGGTGTTTGGTTAATAATATTAACTTAAAATAGCTTTTATATGACCAGGAAGTCTCTGGTAAGAGGTCGTAACCTTTGTCGAGAGAAAAACCTGGCAAGATGACAGAAAGGGAAAAGCTATTTATACTTTGTGTATAGACACAATACTGAACAATAGACACAATTTAACACATATGACAAAGCCTGGCAGAAAGAGTCACTGGGTGGGAGAGGTTTGCTATGGGGCTTGTAAACGTTTTCATCAGAGCCTATCCACCTAGTGGTAGGCCAACCTGGACTCAGGGGTAGACGTAGCATAGTAATAGTAAATCTGTCTCCCTCTATTTAGTATGATATGTTACGTTTCGTATGGTATATATTAATTTGTGCATGTCCATTTCATATGATATGTTATGAATTACAATTCATATGATATGTTACGAATTGCAATTCGTACAATATGTTACGAATTTGCAATATGTATGATATGTTATGAATTCATACTAATTTGAATGTCCCAGATTTACATTTACTACAGTATGTTATGTCTAGTCTATGAGACCAGGCTGGGTAGGCAGAGTTAATTACAACCCAGGTATTACTGTATATGTCTGCACTGTGTTTGTGATTTTCCTTGAATAGATGTATGCAAGTCTATCTCTCAGTGTGTCAATCAGTGTGCTTATGTGTATGTTCATCTACGTATATCAGTAAATGTATTTTTGTGTCTTTAAATAATCTCTCTCTGTCCCAGGTCCTCTCAGCCCTGAAGCCATCCAGGTGTTGTTGACCCAAGGCAGGTCTGTGGAGTTGTCAGTCTACTGGCAGACGGTGCGTGGTGTGGATGACTACTTGGCCAGGACCTCTACTGGTCAGAACTGCTCTGCCTCAGAGAGGTACTGTATCATCAGCCCACTGCGCTGCGGGCAGAACCACAGTGTGACTGTTACTGCCGAGAACAGTGCTGGACGCAGCGACCCCTCTGACCCTGAGGACTTCATCACATGTATGTATACACCTGGCCCTTGACCTCTGACCTCTCACCTGTGACCCCTAACCTAATCTTAGGGATAAGGTACGTGTAATGTAATCATATGCTAATCTCTCTTGTGTCTCTCCATCAGTCCCATGCACTCCGGAGCGTATCTGGGTAGAGGAGCGTGAGGCAGGCAGCTGCTTGGTGGCGTGGACCAAGATGACCCTGGTGGAGCACTACATGGCCTTCATCAAGAGAGACGACCGACACCACCTGTCAATTCCACTGCATGTGTGGTTACACCTACCTCACCACAGTGTTCACCTACAACCATGCTGGATCCAGTCCTCCGGGAGAAGTGTTGAACTATACTACTAGTAAGAGTTATTATACTTTCCACACACACATACACACACACACACACACCTTTGTCAAGTCACTCACCTCTCTTTTCTTCCTCCTCAGTCCCCTGTTGTCCAGAGGATGTTACCATAGCACTGGTGTCCACAGAAACCCTGGAGATCATGTGGTCATCAGTGCGAGGGGCGGAGCTATACGAGACGACAACGGAGGAGTTTGATGATGTCATCCACTGTAACGACACGGCGCCTCTGTGTGCTCTGTCCGACCTGCGCTGTAACACACAGTACAGTGTGGTGGTGACACCATGCAGTGAGATACGAGGCTGCAACCGCACCTGCAAACCTCACACACATGAGACAGGTAACACAAACACATCACACACACAAGACAGATAACTCACACACACACATTCACACAAGAAACAGGCAACACACACACACACACATACATACAATGCAGGTAACAGACACATACACACTGAAAACAAGTAAAATATAGACAAACATAGCACTGGAAATGTACGTTCACTTACAGTAACATTACATAGAAAATGTCCATATATTCCATATTTTCATTTATACTGTATTTTCAAGAATCCAATCAATCCATTAATAAATGAACCAATTAACCAATCCATTAACCCCTGGTTTCCCCTTCAGCTCCCTGTTCTCCAGAGATCCTGAGTGTGTCTCAGATCAACTCGTCCTCCAATGTCAGTGTCCTGTACACGGCCTCCAACACCCTCAACACCAACTACACCATCACAGCCGTGGGCCTCACCAACACACACACCTGTCAATCCCTCTCCACCTCCTGTCAGCTCACACAGCTGTCTACCTATGATGTTACGGCGTACGCCAGCACGGCAGTGGGGCAAAGCCTGCCCAGCTACAGTGTGCCCCTGGAGACAGGTACGGGAAACCCTGTGTGAGAGAGTGAATGTGTTTGTTAGGGCAAATCTCAAATTATATTTTATTTAGTAATGAGTAGTGCAATATGGGCCATATACAGTGCATTCGGAAAGTATTTAGACCAATTCCCTTTTTCCACATTTTGTTACGTTACAGACTTATTCTAAAATTGATTAGATTCAATGTTTTTCTCATCAATCTACACACAATACCTTATAATGACAAAACGAAAACAGGTTTTTAGATTTGTTTTAAAACTCAGAAATACCTTATTTACATAAGTATTCAGACCCTTTGCTATGAGACTCGAAATTGAGCTCAGGTGCATCCTGTTTCCATTGATCATCCTTGAGATGTTTCTACAACTTGATTGGAGTCCACCTGTGGTAAATTGATTTAGAAAGGCACACACCTGTCTATATAAGGTCGCACAGTGCATTTCAGAACAAAAACCAAGCCATGAGGTCGAAGGAATTGTCCGTAGAGCTCCGAGACAGGATTGTGTCAAGGCAGCAGATCAAATTTATTTGCAGCATTGAAGATCCCCAAGAACATAGTGGCCTCCATCATTCAAAATGGAAGAAGTTTGGAACCACCAAGACTCTTCCAGAAGCTGGCCGCGCGGCCAAACTGAGCAATCGGGGAAGAAGGGCCTTGGTCAGGGAGGTGACCAAGAACCCGATTGTCACTCTGACAGAGCTCCAGAGTTCCTCTGTGGAGATGTGAGAACCTTCCAGAAGGACAACCATCTCTACAGCATTCCACCAATCAGGCCTTTATGGTAGAGTGGCCAGACGGAAGTCACTCCTCAGTAAAAGGCACATGACAGCCCGCTTGGAGTTTGCCAAAAGGCACCTAAAGACTCTCAGACCATGAGAAACAAGATTCTCTGGTCTGATGAAACCAAGATTGAACTCTTTGGCCTGAATGCCAAGCGTCACATCTGGAGGAAACCTGGGACCATCCCTACCGTGAAGCATGGTGGTGGCAGCATCATGCTGTGGGGATGTTTTCAGCAGCAGGGACTGGGAGACTAGTCAGGATCGAGGGAAAGATTAACGGAGCAGTACAGAGAGATCCTTGATGAAAACCTGCTCCAGAGCGCTCAGAACCTCCAACTGGGGCAAAGGTTCATCTTCCAACAGGACAACGACCCTAAGCACACAGCCAAGACAACGCAGGAGTGGCTTCGGGACTTACACTCTCTCTCTGCCTTTTATCTCTCGCTCTCTAGCTCTCTCTCTCTCTCTCTCTCTCTCCCTGCTCTCTTCGTCGCGGAGAAGCTCTCTGATAGCCTCTCGTATCGCTCTCTCTCTCTCTCTTCTCTCTCTCTCTTCTCTCTCTCTCTCTCTATCTCTCTCTCTCTCTCTCTCTCTCTCTATCTCTCTCAGGTGCCTGTTGTCCGTTGAGCGTGAAGCTCTACCGGATGGCCAACAGCTTTCTGAGGGTATACTGGCGCTCCTCGGGCCCCCAGAACCACACAGTGGACCTGATTGGGACGGGCACCAACCACACCTGTGTTCCCTCACCCCTCAGCAGCTCCTGTGATGTGTCGGAGGTCATGTGTGGGGACGTCTACACTGTGGTGGTGGCACCTGTCAATCAGGACGGGACCAAAGTCACCTTCTGTCCCCACAGGATTTACTCTGGTATGTGTGTAGGAATGTCTACAGTGAGTTTGTGTCTAATGGCATTGTTCTCATTCTCTTACAGTGTCCTGCTCTGGAAGCAATGTAGGAATGGGTAAGTGTCCGCTAGCAAACTTCACTAGGCAACTCAGCTAACATACTTTACTGCTTTTGTATCTCCTACCCAATATGTTAAACACCATTATTTATCTTTTTCTTCTTTCTAGTGATATATCGGGGAAAGAGAAGTGTCGATTAGAGGTGAGTTACAGTCTTTTTATAAACTGAGTGGTTCGAGCCCTGAATGCTGATTGGCTGACAGCCGTGGTATACCACAGGTATGACAAAACATTTATTTTTACTGCTCTAATTACGTTGGTTAGCAGTTTATAATCGCAATAAGGCACCTCGTGGGTTTGTGATATATGGCGATTATACCATGGCTAAGGGCTGTGTCCAGGCACTCCGCATTGCGTCGTGCGAAAGAACAGCCCTTAGCCGTGGTATATTGGCCATATACCACATCTCCTCTGGCCTTATTGCTTAAGTATAACAAAATCCTCAGCATGACTGTAAAAAAACAAAAAAACATCAACTGAGCATACTTTATACATTGTCGATCTACTATATCTATCTATGAAAGAACCAGATGAAAGGTGCTTACACAAGACCTGTCCTTTGTGTTACCACACGTCATAAAGAGTATCGCGTAACAACTTCATAAGCATCCATAAATAACAGCGGCCTATATGAGGTCGTCAACAACAATAAGACTTCTTTGCGTAGAATGGTGAATGTCCAAGTGGAACAAAATACTGAGACAACGGGTGAGGGTCTGCTAAATGACTTAAATGTAAATTATCTTCAGTTTATACCTCAATAAGACTTGATACAGTTTGATATGATTGTAAATAGACATACAGGCTTGTGAATTATACATTCTAATCTCTACAATCAAAATGACATTTTTTGATACATTCTTTTATAAAACAATTTAACTATCAGACTGAAACTGTGATTTTGAATAACATTTACACTGCTGCTACTGTATAAAAAAAGTGAAATCCTTACAATGTATGTCCTTTTCTGAATGAAATTGGACGTGAAATCCATGAAGTGTGAAGCAAGAGAAGCAAGAGAAACTGTGTGCCCCATATTTTTTTCTGTGAAATGTAGCCTACATGTTGTGTTTTTTTAAAATGTCAATTAAATAACATAAGTATCCCTAAGAAGGAAGCCTCCATAAGGTTGTTAAGTATGTCGTGTAACAGTGGTTGTATAGCTGTTTGTGAAAGTGGAGCAGAGCGAACAGAGATTACCACTGGAGTCATGCCTGGAGTCATACATGTCCTATGGATGATACATCAGATCAGATTTCTGGGGATAGAATGTTTCCACTGCATTCGATGCTGTCCCCTGCCTGACGGCCTGACTGTGTTCAAACAATAAAACACACCCTATTGCATTACCACAAAGTGTGGCGTTAATTAATTATCGTATAACCTTGGAGAAATTCAGAATTCTCTCTGAAAGATGAATACTAAAGCTACTGGGGGTAGCTTGTAAATGGAAAGTAATGACCTTTTTATGCAGTTTTCTCTCTACGCCTGCTCTGACCTTGAATTTAAGCATGATAATAGCATGCTATTCACCAGCTATTTGTTTGGGGTGGAGATCTAATAAATAAAGGTGTGAAGGAGGTGTATCTACAGAAACGCCATATTCTGACTTTGACTTAATTCCACCTTTGATGACAACATTTGCCCACAAGAAGGACCGCCGCGCCATATTCCTGTTCAAGTGAGCACAGCACAACAACGGTGAGTCCAAAAATGTCTTGTATGCTGCTGCATAAATTAGCTCATGTGCTTTTCTTCACAAGGAGGGGATACTATATAATGTTGTTGGGTCTGTAACCATGTTTGCCAGTGACAGTCTCATCCCATTCAAATATTTGTTTTCAACAAAAAGTTAAGTAATAGACCCCTGTAATTCCAGTTGATATTACGAGGGTTGTTTTGTTTGCGCAATGCACTGTCTGTGCGTTGGTATGTTGTCTATAAAAGTGGATCCTCGTGATTGTATTTTCCTTCCTTTTTAGACCACATAGGCCTGATAAAAAACTTCAAATGGTAGGCTAACCTCGTCTCTCTCTCTCTCTCTCTCTCTCTCTCTCTCTGTGGTGACTTAAAGAAGAGTAAAGTTAAGGCCTCAACATCTTGCTGAATTTATCTGAAATAACATCTATCTGAATATTTGTCGGTGTCCATTTTGAAAGTGCTGAACGAATAGGCCTACCTCGTCGCAGCTCGTTTGCTTGGACTTGATTATACTTACACTTCGAACATGGCATCAATGCTGCATAACATTTTGCGCAGCTACGCAGCTATACTGAATGCAGGTATCTACACACGTGTTGCAGACGGTCGCATGCGGTTGGACACATGGAGGAGAGAATCCTTTTCGCAGTATCCTCAAAACCGTGTCTTTTTGACACAACTGCTGACAGCAACAGGGACATAAACACAAAAAAATGCTTATTGGAGACAAGTGTCCACGATAGTAGGATTGCCAGGTCAGTTTAGTGAGCTTGTGCTAGATGGGGCTAGTTAGCTAGCCTAGCTAACCTAGCTAGCTAGCTTGCTAACCAAGCCAATGAGGTGTGTGTGTGTGTGAAAGAGAAATAGTAATATAAATTATGCTAGTTACTACCACTGATAACTTGGCCAAATAATCATGTTTGAAAGAGTGTGAGTGTATATATGAGAGAGTGTGAGTGTGTATGTCAGATAAATAGTAATAGAAATGATGCTAGATACTACCCATGATAATTTGGTCAGATAACCGTGTGTGTGTGTGTCTACTGTAGCCAAGAGTACAACTGAATATGTACCCTTGTAGTTGTAGAATTGCGAACCCGAGCACGGTGGAGCCTGGATTACTACATGTTTCCCGTCAATGGAGCCAAGACAGTTTGGGAAATTCCACCTCTCAAGGAACTCGGCAGCGATGGCCCTCCAGTCTTCCTCCTTGGGGACAGGCATGTATTCACTAACCAGACAGTCCCAAATGGCTTGTGCCACAGAGGGGACAATGCCTGCCACCGTGGACCGTCCAACTCGGAAGCTGAATCCGATGGTCCTGTAGGAGTCCCCTGTCGCCAAGAATCTGAAATATAATTCAAAATAATTATCAATATTGTGTGTAACTTGAATTCCACCCACATATTCTATCTACTCATATAGCTACCTCATTACCAGGCTAAGAGCCCAGGGCAGCAGAGAACCTCAGACATTAAAGGCCCCTGGTCTAAGAAGCCTCCCTTCCCACCCATGGCCCCAAGGAGCCAGCCGGCCCTTAACCCCACCCAGGGGGTAAGGAAGAAGAAGAGGACGGCCTAGCAGTGTCCCCATCGCCAGAGAGGCGAGAACAGACTTCCCCAAGCACCGTTCTATCTCCTCCACCAATCCTGAGCCTGTTCCATGGTTCAAGTTCCCAGGCACCTCAATGTTCTTTTCACGTACCGTGCCCAAGTCGGTGGTCACAGTACAGCTCAAAGAGGAGAAGAGACAATGTTCAGTTGGATGCTGCTTCAATCACATCGCTAATAGGGAAAAGGGCAATAAGAATTGTTCCTCCCGAGCAAAGCCACTGCAGTTTTACTAGAGATAATTCCTGGTTCCAAAAAAGGTTTCAAGCACACGCCCGATCCTAGATCTACAGTGCCTTCAGAAAGTATAGCCTAAATTTAAAATTGATTACGTTTATGTTTTTCTCACGCATCTACACACAATACCCGATAATGTCAACATTCTATTTTACTAATTTTTGCTAATTTATTGAAAATAAAATACAGAAATATCTCATTTACATACAGCACCAGTCAAAAGTTTGGACACACCTACTCATTCAAGGGTTTTTCTTTATTTTTACTATTTTTTACATTGTAGAATAATAGTGAAGGCATCAAAACTATTAAATAACACTTATGGAATCTTGTAGTAACCAAAAAAAGTGTTAAACAAATAAAAATATATTTTATATTTGAGATTCTTCCAATAGCCACCCTTTGCCTTGATGACAGCTTTGCCCACTCTTGGCATTCTCTCAACCAGCTTCACCTGGAATGCTTTTCCAACAGTCTTGAAGGAGTTCCCACATATGCTGAGCACTTGTTGGCTGCTTTTCCTTCACTCTGCCGTCTGATTCATCCCAAACCATCTCAATTGGGTTGAGGTCGGGGTATTGTGGAGGCCAGGTCATCTGATGCAGCACTCCATCACTTTCCTTCTTGGTGAAATAGCCCTTACACAGCCTGGAGGTGTGTTGGGTCATTATCCTGTTGAAAAACAAATGATAGCCCCACTAAGCCCAAACCAGATGGGATGGCGTATCGCTACAGAATGCTGTGGTAGCCATGCTGGTTAAGTGTGCCTTGAATTCTAAATGAATCACAGACAGTGTCACCAGCAAAGCACCCCCACACCATAACACCTCCTCCTCCATGCTTTACGGTGGGAACTACACATGCGGAGATCATCCATTCACCCACACCGCGTCTCACAAAGACACAGCGTTTGTAACCAAAAAAATCTCAAATTTGGACTCCAGACCAAAGGACACATTTCCACCGGTCTAATGTCCATTGCTCGTGTTTCTTGGCCCAAGCAGGTCTCTTGTCGCCTGATTCACACAGACCCCTCTGAACAGTTGATGTTGAGATGTGTCTGTTACTGTTAAGCATTTATTTGGGCTGCAATTTCTGAGGCTGGTAACTCTAATGAACTTATCCTCTGCAGCAGAGGTAACTCTGGGTCTTCTATTCCTGTGGCGGTCCTCATGAGAGCCAGTTTCATCATAGCGCTTGATGGTTTTTGCGAATGCACTTGAAGAAACTTTCAAAGTTCTTGAAATGTTCCGGATTGACTGACCTTCATCTCTTCAAGTAATGATGGACTGTCGTTTCTCTTTGCTTATTTGAGCTGTTCTTGCCATAATATGGACTTGGTCTTTTACCAAATAGGGCTATCTTCTGTATACCCCCTCTACCATGTCACAACACAACTGATTGACTCAAACGCACTAAGAAGAAAATAAATTGCACAAATG